ACAACAAAAAAAAAAAAAAAAAAAAAAAAAAAAAAATTAATGTTCTTCACAGAGCCGTTTTACATAAGCGATTTTAACTCAAAAATCCACTTCTAAGTGAATAAATTACATCCAATTGAGTATATTTTCTGATAAACAACAATATAAGGTATCAAAACCCTAAATTTTTAACACATTATTTCTAATATATCATGAAAACAAAATCAAAAGGCGGAAAGAAAAAAAAAAAACAGCGGAATTTTGGTTTCGCAGACATCTCAGTGTTCATCTCAAATTTCATGCTGTAATTGACCAGATTACGTAAAATTGAAAATTTTAAATCATACTAGACACAATAAAGATTAAAAACCCTAATTATTGAACTCATTATGTTCACAATATGCCGTGAAATAAATCAAATGGTGAAAAAAAAAAACCCAAACTTCTTACCTGATTTTGTGAACCGAAGCTTTCAATCTCCAAAAAACTCTGTTTTTCTCAACGATTATCACAAATTAGTAACAAAAGGTTTTGATTCACAGCTTTAAGATCAAAATGCCTACAAAATTTGAAAGATTCATGCCCTATTTGGCATGAAACTTTCAGAAAAGGCGGAAACCCTAGACACCAAATTTTTCGTGATCCAAAAACACCAAATTTTTCAACCATTTAATCCTTGAAAAAGCTAAATAAAGTTGTTTACAGCCTGCAAATTAGATCACATGCCAAAAAAAACAAGAAAAATAATAAAAAAATGACAAATTTCAAAGAATCCCGTGAAGAACACTGTGCAACCCGTGTTCTTCACGGACTCGCCGATTCCGCACAGTGACTCGACGAGTCACTGTGCAGAATCGTCCGGTTCTCTCTAGAACCGGACGATTTCCTATTTTTTAGCCGATCCGATCCCCTTTTCACGATTTCAGAGTCGAACCGGGCGAGTCCGGTTCTACTCGGCGTTTTTTAAAACACTGGCAAAAACAATGAACTTAGACCTTTCTTTTCTCAATTCCATATTCAAATGAGAAAAGAATACAACATTAATTACCAAAAGTATCCGTAAATAAATTACAATAATGGATATCTCACCAATTTATTAAAAAAGAAAACCATTAAATGAAATGATCTTTTGAATCACTGCAACTTTTTTTTCCTATGGCATTATACATCAGTTGGGAGACATAATACTCGCTCCGTTCACTTAGCACGTGAGCTGAGATCTCAACCAAAATCTTGATTTGTATGAGCGAATTTCTATTTATGTCCAGTTCTTCGATTGGCCGAGTCTTAATTTGACCTATGCAGGAGATAAGTGAAATGCACCTAATAACATAAACCAATGCTCGCAATCAAAATATTTGAAATTTGGGGTTGAGATTCTCCTTCGTTCTAACTCAAGATAACTTTTTCAGCATCAATGGTTAGGCAGCCATTAGTAGGTTGATGATCAAGTTTTTCATTACTTGGTCCTGTTTGATGATGGAGTTTTCTGTTGGTCCATCCTATGTGATGATCGTCGAGTTTTTTGTGATCCCAGATGTTTCGAAGAAGAGAGAAAGAAAGATCATTTTCTTTTAGAGAGAAAAAGCCCCTAGATAGAAAAAAAGCCTTTGAGAAAAAATATTCAAAGAAGAAAATCCTAGAGAGAGAGTCTTTAGAAGAAAATAGAGAGTCCAATAAATGTTGTTTCTTGGAAGACCCTAAACAGAGAAAGTCTCTAGAAAAAGTAGAGAGCCCAATAAAGGTTGTTTCTTGGAAGATCATTGTAACCTGTGAAATTTATCATGGATTTGATTACTATTCATTTTTTTGGCAACTTAGTCTAGTTCAAACTCTAGTTGTTTTGTGTCAAAGCATCTTGAGTTTGAGGGGGAGTGTTAGGATATGGATATCTCGGGTTCTCAAAGCATCTTGAGTTTGAGGGGAGTGTTAGGATATGGATATCTCGAGATCATATTGATATATATCATTATGGATGTATAGGTATATATCTTGATCATCAAGTTCGTTTGGTAATAAGGCCTCATGTTATTTACATTTATCTCCAAGAATCATATCATATTTATTTCCTGTAATTGTGTGAATGTCTTCTATATATAGAGGTACTTATTGATATAAACATTTATCCAAAATAATGAAGATGTAGCCAGTTGAGCTTTGGATATGTGGATATAAAGCTTCAGCCTGAACCACGTAAATATTGTGTTCTCTGTTCTATCACCGCCAATGCACCAACAATGTGGAGGGACCGAAGCCTCAAGATTCAGTTCTTCCCAGAACCGTAGTTTAATTGGAGAAGAGTTGGGACCATAAACAATAGTGAATTTTCAAGGAAAGGAATCGAAAACTCTGAAGAGGGAGATGGAAACCGAAGATAACAAGTTGTGAAGGGTTGGATCCCATTATGACCCAAATGCCACCCGCTAACATGGTCTAGACCCCCAAACTTGTCGAATGAGGGAGAGGGAAGGCCTAAGGAGTTTAGTTTCAACTAGGGCTAGAACAGAGGGGAGCAGGATGAAGCGAAATTGTGGACGTGCTTGCGGTTGCTAGGGTCACCCAATCCCTTGATATTCCCAGTCAATATCTTCATGAGGGGGGTAGAGAGGAGGGGCCATATCGGGAAGATTGTCGAGATGAGGGAAGATCCGAAGTAGTCCCCTGAATTGTTGCAACATTCTAATCGTAATTGATCCCAAATTCCATATTGACTAGTTCTCGTTTGCGTTTTGCCATAGTCTTGGGTTGGGTCTCTTGATATGGAAAAACGTAAGTTTTAAGGACCTTTTGGGGTCCATTGAAACCCACGCCCATGACCTTCATGACCGAGATCACCCTAAGCTTTATTATATGAAAAACGAGCTAACAGAGGCGGGAGAGTCCTCGGAAACAGACTCAACTGATGATATGTTAAGGCAGTTGGGAGTGGGAGAGCTGCGTGCATATTCGGAGGTGGGTAGGGGGTTATGAAGCTCCATTGGCATCATAGCCTGTCGCGAGACACATGGAAGGAGGTCTACTTCTATAGCAGGACGAGGGTGCCGAGGCTCGAAAGAAGCATGTATATAAACCGGCCAACACGTCTGACGATAGAATTTGTGGTGCTTGGATCCCAGGCTCGAGTCCTACCAACGCTAATGTAACGGGATCTTCCCCGCTACAAAGGAAAAAAAAGAGAAAATAAATAACGTAGAAAGTTGAGGTTGATGTTGAGAATTTGAGAGATTCCTCGTACTATAATACCTACACTTGTTCTTCCTATAGTTTTTGCATCAAAATTTAACGGTCTACCTATAGTTTTTGCAGCTCAAAATTTAACGGTCTCTACCTATAGTTTTTGCAGCTCAAAATTTAACGGTCTCTAGACTCTTGACTGCCAAATCCAATTATGGAATTTCAAGCTTCCAAGCATTTGCAACAAATTTTGAAATATTTTAACTAAGGAATGAATATTGACAATATAAATATTGATGAGAAAGGGACACCACCCACTACATTGCTTCAGCTCAAAGTTCCCTAGCACAAACTGAAAATAAGGATCCTTATTGCCCTTGTTATTTTGATCGAGGCGGTTGGAGAGAAGCAAAAGCAGCAAAACCACGAGGTCCTTCAAAGATTATCCATACATCACTATTCTCATTTTTTGGACTAAATATTCAGCAGCACTGCGTTACCTTCAATGTATTTGAAGGAAGAAAATTTCTCAAGATTACAATTACACTAGGATTGATGATCAAGTACATGAATCTCAATATTGATTATCACCTAAAAAGTTGAAGCCCTTGTGACTTCCAGTTAGTTGGATCCATACTTGCATGCCTTGCTTGCCATATGATTAATCCACAATATGGCCAGTCCCCATGATCTACATGATCCAATGTCTGGAAATGGGAACACAAAAGCAATCAATCCAAGACCAGTTTTCAAGCCGCAATTTTCAGAAAATAAATCTAAATCTTTACTGAAAAATAAAAAGAAACTGAAAACATTTAATCGGAAAAGCATCATACAAATACAGGCAGAGTCTTAATTCTCAATGCATGGATCAAGCAATAACTCACATATGCAACTTGGTTAAGTGAACTTGCCAAGAATGATGCAGTCAACGTTCAGGTGATGAGAAGAATATCACTAGGAAATAAACAACAAATCCTGCTATCAAAATTCCCCCATAGATAAATGCCTGGGAAGATTGCACAGGAGCCCTGTACTCAGTGTTACAGCATTTCATCTTCTGCTTCTCAGTTGCTAGAACGCGCTCCACATATCTGCAGAGGAAGTGGAAGAAAAGAAGGGTATCATGGAGCCCCATAAATTTGACAAACCAGAAAGGAAAGGAATTGGCCGCTACACATCGTTAGAAAGAGAGTCGTTCTATATGCGTGAAATATATTGATTAGCGTGCACACAAATACTTTTTTTTTTTTTTCTTTTTGAAACTGTTAGCATTTGCACTCAAGAATACATCGGTACGACATTTACTTTCTTGCGACATAAACCTAATGCACAATGTTTGTGAACTTCAAGATTAATTGTTCTAAGAGAGGAAGTCACAAAAAGTATATGAAGATAGGAATAAAGCCTAAAATTTATGAGATGGCCGCCAATCTTTTATTGCCCTACTGCAATAATATTTCATAAAACATTGAAAAAGATTCACAGAGCCACTCACTGTTGTGTAAATAGAGTGCTTTGGAATATTTCTGAACTGTTGAGGTGCGCGTCTAATAAGCGGTGGTCATATAACAATGATGATAGATCCACAAGTTGCTCCTCAAGACTCTGATGGATGCCCAAACAAAAAATTACACATGGCACTCAAGTCAAAAGTTATGAAAGCGTGAGAGTTATCTTTC